TGAGTTGCCCTTTATCTAGCTCAACTGAGTCCCAGTAATTAAATAAAATTAAAAGGCTTAAAGGTAATTCCAAAGCTGGTCCCCCCTTTTTTCCTTTCTATTTTTTTCGATTTTTTAAACTTTGTGGCAAATTATATGTTGTTCGAAAGAGCTCTTCAAGCTGAGTCGAAAGGTACTAAATTTATCGAAATCCGACATAAATAAATTAGCTATAACCATTTCTTTTAATCCCTTTCAACATCACAAAAAGCATGTCTATCGAGGTTTAGCTTCATAACTCTGACCAGAATCTCCAAATCGAACCGATCATAGTATCATTCTACTCAGCTCGAACAGCTCTTTCGAATGATATATTGTAAATTATATGTCAAGCAAAAAAAGCTCAAAATGGTCAGGGGAACAGTAAAAAAAAGGGAGGGGACCAGCCTTGGAATTACCGGCTTAAATACAATACTGGGTTATTTGGAGTGATTTGGACCTACTATTGTATTTTTTATAAAAAAGGATGTTAACCATCAATCAAATCGGATCCAGATGATAAAGAGTATTTATCTGATGATTTGGATGATGAAAATAATGAATAAATTATTTTTACACGTATTTTTTGACGTAAAATAAAATTTTCTGTTAGTCTCGGTCAGTATCGTTTCTCGGTATCGGTCTCGGTATCGGATTCTTGAGTATCGGTCAATCTCGGTCTCGGGTTGGCCGATACCAGTATCGTTTTGTCCAACTCTAGTTTAAATTATTTTATTGAAAAATTGGTACTTATCAGTTATCGCCCCATATTTTTTTCTGATTTATTTTCTTCTTTCCTCTACTAAAATGTAACAAAAAGATCATTTTCGAACAAATGATCCGGTATTCTATTTGAGACGGGCGCTTATCAGGGGTGGGTCGGGTTGAGAAATAAGTTTGGTCGGGTTCGGTGTTTGGTCTCAGAATCTATTGTTATCCATCCAAATTTTACTATATACATTTAATCTCCCTATATCTCTCCAAATCGTTTTAATTCCCATACGTTTTAATTCTTATGTATCCATCTATTTCCCTGATATCACTTTTGATCCTCAAAATATCTAAAAATCCCTCGATATCCTCCATATCTCTCCCCGATATCTCCAAACCCTCTTTTATACCTTTAAATCCCCATAACAACGAGATACCCTCTTAATCCTTCAAAATCAAATGATATTCTGTTAGTGATATCCTTTTAGGATTAGTGATATTTTTTAGGATACACATCCTACGTTGGCATAAATTCTGATTACAGAAGCGGTAACTCATAGCGAGGTAGTTAGCGGTATAGACGGTAAATTTTTTTCATTATTTGCCTTTGACAATTCTGTAACATTTTAGGAAAAAGTCAACAAGAAATAAATGGGAAATGCGGGGAGATAACCGTATTTATCGAGAAATTTCATACGGATACCTTTATATTGTGTATATTTACACTATCTTAAGAACCTTTTAATATTGTCTAATATAGATAATCAAATCTTAAATTTTGAAGGAAGGAGTGATTTAAAATTCTATGTTGATAAAATACACAAATAGAGGTCTGAAAATCATATTTTACCGATGTTTCAAATTCACCAATAATTTTTGTTTTCCCATCTGCTAATTTTAAGATACAATTTGTTCCATCAAAATCAACAGTTTCATTAATTTTATTTTCACCGTTACTGTTTTTAGTTATATCTTTATTGTCAGGTTTGTTTTGATACGGGGTCTCTTGAACATGTATATTTTCCCCATAATAGTCGCCTGAAAATGTAGTTGGGGCCGATGAATGCTGAAAATGTGGTAAATCTTCGCTCTCAAATTTTTGAAAATAACGAAAATTAAAAAAATTTTCTAAAATAACTAAAATTCCTGCCTTTTCCTCTTCAATTTCATTGATTGTCGTTTCATGTTCTTCTCCCCTTTCGGCCCGCAAAGGAAGCTTCGCGGAACTTTCATCAAACAAAAAAACATAGATACTAAAACAATAAAAGCCTAAATTTTTCAAAATAATTAAGCAAACCTTAAAGTTGTCAGTAAAACCAACTTTTTGTTCATCGTCGATAAAAAAATAATATTTTGATATTAATAAATGAAAATTTTTATGGAGATTGGACAGTTTTATATTAAATAATTTGTTTAAATTTTTATTTTTTTGTTCATTTTTATGATTCATCTCGTTAAGCGTATAAAAATTTACACGTTCAATAATTTCCTTTTTTGTCACTTTTCTCTCATTTAATCCTCTGTTCTCTCATTTCATTTCTGTTAAAAAATTAATTGAAATATATTTTTGAAAAAAATCAAACTATCGATTTAACTAACAGATAAAGCTGATTTTTTTTTAAATTATTTGTCAATTTCCTAAACGGAACTTGACTAATAATGAATAAATTATTTTTACAAGTATTTTTTGACATAAAATAAAAATTTCTGTTAGTCTCGGTCAGTATCGTTTCTCGGTATCGGTCTCGACTCAAAATGATAGTATCGGTCTCGGTATCGGATTCTTGAGTATCGGTCAATCTCGGTCTCGGGTTGGCCGATACCAGTATCGTTTTGTCCAATCTACTCTCTACATATAAGCCATCATCTGTTTGCGTGGTGGCACAGCCGGCTCTCAAACGCGGCCATTTTCAAAATTATCTGAGAATATAACTTACTTTTTTCTCAGATTAGGAGGGGAACAATTTGGGTTTCGAAGGATTCATACAATAAAACTCATTCTAGAAGTTCAGTATCACTTTAACCAGTGTAAACATTTTTATAAAAATATTTTATAAAATGAAAGCAATGAATCATTTAAGTTATTAAAAAAATTTATTTTTTAATTTACTATTTTATTATAATAAAAATATTAGTATAGCTGCTGAATTAGTAATCATTTTAGTAATTTATAAAATTTATGTTTGAGCGGAAATAGTAAAATTTTTCTGTTGATATTTTCTAGATAATACTCTAATTTCTCTAAAACTATATTTTTAAACGTGTCGACGCAGAAGACCCACAGACAGAAGACCCAGGGACAGAAGACCCACAGACAAAAGACCCACAGACAAAAGACCCACAGACAGAAGACCCACAAGGACAGAATACCCACAGACAAAAGACCCACAACTATTTTTTCCCTTTTATTGTGCATAAATTTTGGCGCGAAGGATGTTGTTAATTTTCTTAGTTTTCCATAAGGGTGATCCAACAACGGGAAAAGTTGTTTCGATACTAGCGAAGGCCGTTCCAAAAATTGGGAAGGTTGTTGAAACAATGTAGGATGTTGTTCCAATAACGGGGAAGTTGTTCCAAAAACAGGTATTTTAACAATGGGGGATGTTGTTGTAAAAATGGGTTAAGTTGTTCCAACGGTTCCGTGACTTTTGCGCCGAGAACATTTGCGCCGCGACTTATGCGCCGCGACTTTTGCGCCGCGACTTGTGCGCCGAGCGACTTTTGCGCCGGGGGACTTTTGCGCCGCGACTTTTGCGCCGGGCGACGTTTGCGCCGCGACTTTTGCGCCGGACGACTTTTGCGCCGCCACTATCACTATAGTGCACCCTCTTCTTGCAGAAAATCATGCTTGAATAGGCGTAGACCAAATATCCTGATCCGAAAAAGTCAAGTTCTTTGAAAATGACCCCTCTAGGGGGTCTGTTTATTAGAGGGGGCTATTGTACTTCCTGAAATATTGTACTCCCTGAAATTCCTTCAGCTCCTGGATACCATTTTTTAAGGAGTACACTATAATTAGGTCCCTCTGTAGATATTATTTATTTTAATTATGGCGGCGCAAATGTCGCGGCGCATAAGTCGCCCGGCGCAAAAGTCGCGGCGCACAAGTCGCTCGGCGCATAAGTCGCGGCGCAAAAGTCGCGGCGCAAAAGTCGCCCGGCGCATAAGTCGCGGCGCAAAAGTCGCGGCGCAAATGTTCTCGGCGCAAAAGTCGTGATACCGTTCCAACGATGGGAATCTTGTCCCAATGACCTGGGAGCTTGTTTAACGAAGGGATTTTCGGGATTTTTAACCCGGTCCAGGTCATGTCAAAAAACATAATCCGATCAGGTTCAGATATAAAATCGTATAAAAATAGCTAATTTGCCCTCCAAAATTCAAAGAATTTCCACCTATGTATGTTGATAAAAAGTAGAAACCTTGCTTCTTACCCTTTCAAAATTCCCAAAATTTTTCTCTGCGACGATTAAAAAGAGAAGTAGATCAAAGGAACTTTAGTATCATCGGGTATTTAAGATTAACTTGATTATAGCGAGAATCAGTTAAGTCTACATGGAGGGATACAGAAGGATTAGAAATGGTCAAGGGTATTGGAGATATGCAGGGATGTCGTGGATCATTGGTATTAGCAGAGATTAGATAATTATTTCTGAGTAAATGGAGGGATATCGGCTGATAAAAGCGGATTAGTAGAATATAAAGCTTAGAAGGGTTAAATCCGTTTACATCCCTTTAAATCCTGACATATCCGATTTTCTGTTTAATAGAGATATCTGAGTATTCCTTCTCCCGGTTACTGTTATGTATAAATAATTTACGGATAAGAATAGACATAGTAGGTGGATTTGAGGTTTTACTTGAGGTTTATATTTGAGGTTTTATATTTTCTAAATCCCACGCTATTCCTACATATCCCAATTAACACCCTACTCTTCAATCCACTTTTTTATTAATCAAATTTTATTGATTAACTTTGGAATAAATTTTTCTAATATTTTAAAAATATTTTTTAACTTGTGCCTAGAAAAATTGACAAGTCTTTTTCAAAAATTTCAGAAAATTTCTTCTTAGTTTCGGTTAAAAAATTTTTCTTGTGGGTCTTTTGTCTGTGGGTATTCTGTCCTTGTGGGTCTTCTGTCCTTGGGTCTTCTGTCACTACGCCATTTTTAAAGTATTTAAAATTGACTTAGAGTTCCTTTTTTCCAATTGTCAGATTGGTCAGTTATCAGTCATTATCTTATCGATATAAACTTTAAACTATGGATTGGGTTTTTGCTTTTTTTAAATAATTTGCCACAATTGCCACAACTATCAATAAATTTATATGAAGGCTTTAAAGAAAACACAAAAGAAAATACTGCCACGACTCTAACTTTGAAAATTATAAATAATGTATCTTTGGGAAATTAATTGAAATTGGTTAGCCAAATTGAATCTGGACTGACATTTAATTCGAACGCCAATATATACAAATTCGGGAAGTCACGGGTTACTAGAAACTGACAACTGACACCTTTTAACTGACACAATCCGAAACCCAACCCAACACGAAAAAACTCTTTCTCGACGCGATACCCAATCCGAAAAAAATTATGAAGACCAGACCTGGCTTTTTCTGGCTTTTTTCTCAAACAGTGACACATTTTTATTATTAAAATAATTTGGAACAATTAAAATATCAACTAAATACCTAATTTTATTTTTTATTAACGTTCCTGATGTCGATTCCCAAATTTTAATTAAATTTTCCGGCTATGGTTATCCACCGGAGAAGTTCGGATCGACAATTCTAATTTTCTCATATTTATCTTTAATATTTATAATTTAAAGCAGATCTTAATTTACTAATAATGTATTATTTGTTAACTATAATATTTCTGATTATACAGGTTTTTTACTTTAAATATATCAATGAAATATTGTAAGGCGTACTTTGATCCAATTGGGCAAGTATGTTAAAGCGGATTCGGGTTTTTTGTACGCGACATCTGCCAAAATTAAAAAAATAAGAATACTGTTTTTTAACACAGTAGCGTTGCGTCAGTGAAATTACTCCTCAGACCTTCACTACTGTTTCACTCAAGTTTTTTTGAAAACTAGTTTTTCGCCTGCGGTGCAAAAAATTATACTATCGAACCCTACTGTCGAAGAGCAAATTATTTAAATATAATTTTCATATAGTATATTAAATTTTATATTCTTAACTATATAATTTTAAGTTATAATTTCATATTTTCAAGTTTTTTGATGAATATGATTTACAATTAGCTTGCATCAAAAATGATGGAGCAGCATGTAGAACTGAAAAATGGTGCTTTTTTAAAGTGTTTGAACGTTCTAATGGAGAAAAAGCTTGTAAGTAAAATTCACAATTTAAAGGCTATATAATTGATATCAGTGACTGTATGTATATATGTGTTAAGAAATTATATGAACACTTTTTAAAAATTTTGTTTTTCATATTAGAAATAGGGTTCAGAGGTACCGGTATTGCGAGAAAAAACCTTTATCGGTATTTTTAATTGATGATACCGATCCCGATACCGGTACCGACTCGGGATTAGCCTAAATCGGTATCGGGATTTGAGTTAATGATACCGGTACCGATGCCGACTCGGGATCGGGATTGAAAAATCGGTATCGGTATTTCCTAAAAAAAATTTTAATCCGAAAAAAAAATAAATAAATTCTTTAATAAATAAATTTATTCCTCATTTTGAAAAAGGTATTAATCTGTAGTAAAATGATAAATTAAATAAAGCCATTCTCGAGACAAAAACATCTCAGAAACCAATAGAAGACCTTCCAAATCCATCGATATCCACTTTAATCCTCAGATATCATCTTCATCCACGGATATACTCCAAATTTAACTTTATACCTCAAATCAACTTTGGGGATTAGGTGGGATATCAGTAGACTTATGGGAGTACTAGGGATACCCCCGATAATCGAAAATGATATCCCTCAATATGGGGACCAGACCTGGATAAAACTTTTTTTCATTAGGCTTCGTTCATTAACAAAACACCTGTGTTTCATTAATGAACATTATCTTACTTTTAAGCCAAAATTTAATTCATCGAAGGCGCCAAAATCGAAAATTTCGAAATTTTAAGGCCAAATTTTAGAAGGCGTAGGTAAAAAAATTCACTTTTTCAGCGCCGCAGGCAAAAATTTTGAAAATTTTTATAAACTAAGAAGCCAGATTTCTTCAATTTCAGCGCCGCAGGCAAAAATTGTGAGAATTTTAAAGGCCATGTGGCTAATTTCGTCCATAAAACAAATGAAAAATCGATCCTTAGGGGTGTTAAAAAATACCGATATTCATCGGTATCCGACGCTAATCCCGATACCGGCTTCGGTATCGGTATCAGCAAAAACGGTATCGGGATTTATCGTTCGGTATCGGTATCAGTAAAATCGGTATCGGTATTCAAAGAGACCGGTATAATACCGCCCAATACCGGTCGGGATTCCGATACCGCTGAACCCTAATTAGAAATGCTTTAAAAATTTTGCAAAAATTTTTGTAAGCATTTTCATTGATATTGAGTAGAAAAGCAAAAAGAAGTCTAACAACTATTTTTTATGAAAAATTGGAATAAAAAATTTTCTCGGTTTTAATTACAACTCGATTACAACTCGATAAACCTTCAGGAACTCAGAGAAACAGAAAAAATATGAGTGTTCATATAATTTCTTAACACACCATAGTGAGGCAACATTTTATCAATGAAAAAGGAACAGGCCAGCGTAAGCCGCCAAACGCCGTACAAAATTTTTCTTCTACTTTGAACTAAATTTTTTTGTTGTGACTAATCCCCCCCCCCCCCCCATTGAGAATCCCTACCGAATATCGCAAAATCGTACCGGTACTGACGGTAGTACCGCGGTACTAACGGCCGTGCCGAACACTAATTAGGGCACTATTCTAATACATTATTATAACTAGAGCGTTTTTTTAGGTTTTTACCTATTTGTTGCGAACAGCCCTTGATGAGATAAGTCGAAAAAACACTGTTTTACCGCATAGTGTAACATACTTTTCGAGTTATTAAAACCTAAAAAACCTATTTCGGCCTCTTCGGACCTAAGACCTATTTTGAGCCCACAGTGTGTCCAATAAATATACGTCCACCCTATTTTTACCCGAGTCTGATATACCTAGTCCGAAGTCGAGATCCTGATACCTCGAAAATCAACGTAAAACAGGGGTAAATCCTTTAAAAAATATTTTCGACCCCTTATAAATTATTTCGAATTCTCATTTTGGGTTCATTCGAAAGCCCGAATGTTGTGACTTATAGGGGGTTTTTGTTGGCTGAACCGATTTGGACAAAAGTGGTGTCATTCGAAAGAGCTCGCCGAGCTGAGTCGATCGCGGTGTGAGAGAAGTTGATCCGGCAAACAGGGACCGAGATACAGACCCCTGAGTTTTTAAAAAGAGCAGGGGGGAGTAAGCTCATTTTGTGGTAAAAAATTCGAAAATGCAAATAATAGCTCATTCGACTCAGCTCGTCGAGCTGAGTCGAATGACACCAAAATCAGCTCGATATCTTGATTCTGAGCCAAAATAAACAGGTTCAAAACGGTCAACATAAAACTATGGAGCGTCGGCGAGGCGCTTGTGCGAAACCCCGCGCTTCGCGCGGGGTTTCGCTGGGCTCTGGGTCAGTAACATAAACCTATTCCTATATCCCTTGCTCTGGATGTACTTGGAGCCCCAGTAGCAGCAAAAACCTCTACAGGTGCCATAGGTAAGGAGCTAAAACAAACGAACATAACTTTGTCAAATTAACGGGACTCTCTGTCCCTAATGAATTAAAAAATAAGTAAAAGTATGTTTTATACATACTCTTCATAAAATTTTATTTTTTTCCAAAATTTCCAAAAATATTTAAATAAAATATTAAATAAAATTAAATAAAAATGGAAAGTGCAAAGTAATAAATTTTAAAGGAAAATAAAATAAAAAGAAAAACTTTGAACCTTATTATCATAAGGTTCAAATTAAAACAATAACAAGGCAATTAAGCCGTGCTTGTATAAGTTTAATCGTTTTAACGAGAAACCGTGAACGGCTCATTACAATGGCCAAAAATGAACACATGTTGTTTTTTGCCACTTTTTTAATGGAAAAAGTTATATTTTGATAAAAATATTTATTGTTAGCTGGTTTACCAGCTAACGGCTTGTTTGGATTAAAAGGTGCAAAAAATGGATTTTTTGCTAACTGGCTGATCGAAATTTGTTTTCGATTAGTAGCGAAAGAAAGAAAAAAATAATTGTTTTCTCTCTTGACGCCCACGTTTCTAGCTAGAGCTAATACATGCACTAAAGCTTTGTCCTCTCGAGAGAAAAAATTTTTAGCCGTTCTCGGCTGCCTCCTTTTATTTTTTTTTTGAACACCAATCCCGCCTCCCCCTTCTTTTATTTATAAGCGAAAATTTGCCCCCTTTAGTTGTCAGTTCACTCAAAAATTATAAAAAAAAAATTTTAAAAAATAAAATAAAAATATTTTAAAATAAATTTGTATTTTTATTGGAAATTATTAAGGAATAAATTTAAAAAAATTAAATTTAATTGGAAGAAGAGAAAAAATTTTTTTTGGAAAATTTATTAAAAATTTCAATTTGAATTTACTGTGTCCTACAAAATCAAGTCAGATTTTGTTGATTTTGGTGTCATTCGACTTTGTTGATTTTGGCTCTTTCAAATGAGTTATAATTTGCATATTCGAATTTTTCACCCCAAAAAAGTGCTTGGTCTCCCCTTCTCATTTTCAAACTTCAGGGGTCTGTATCTCGGTCCCCGATTGTCGGATCGACTTCTCTCACCCCTCGATCGACTCAGCTCGGCGAGCTCTTTCGAATGACACCATATTTGTCCAAATCGGTCCAGCCAACAAAAACCCCCTATAAGTCACAATACCCGAAAGCCCTTGAAATTTGCTACAGAAAACACTTAGTCATATCCTGTAGAAAAATTCTATTTTCGAGGAGCCTTGGGTTAAATGAGAAGTTTAATAAATTCACCCAAATCACCCCATAAAATGTCATTACTTCGAGTTTTTAAATTTAACCCTATTCTCCTCAAAGGTAGAATTTTTCTCCAGGATGGGACTTAGTGTTTTATGTAGCAAATTTTGTGGGCTTTCAGATGGACTATAATGAAAAATTTTATGTACAGTCTACACTTGTGAAAATATTTTGGCTCTTGTCCAGTTTATGCGTCCCATGAAAGTATATGCGTCCCATCAACAAAAAATTGAATATTTCTTGGTGTTGCAAAGTAGGGGTATGGTTCCAAAGCATTTCTTCATGTTCGGGATCTACGTCCACTGGGTCTGGGACCGTTCCTTACCCTATCCTTCGAAATTTCTGAAAGTTACAGCCAATTTTTAAAAATTTCAGAAAAACGATTTTAACTTTCAGAAATTTCGAGGTATAGGGTAAGGAACGGTCCCAGACCCAGTGGACGTATATCCCGAACATGAAGAAATGCTTTGGAACCATACCCCTACTTTGCAACACCAAGAAATATTCAATTTTTTGTTGATGGGACGCATATACTTTCATGGGACGCATAAACTGGACAAGAGCCAATATTTTTTATGTACTGTAGCCCCATTTCCCGTTGA